AGCCAGGCGTGGTGGCACACGCCTGTAATCCCAGCTACTCAAGAGGCTGTGGTAGAGAATTACTTGAACCTGGAAGGCGGAGATTGCAGTGAGCTGAGATCACGCCATTGCACTCCAGCCTGGGCAACAAGAGTGAAGCTCAATCTCCAAAAAAAAAGATACCCCAGAAAGCTCTCTAGCCTTTTTTTTTTCCTTCACAAGAGAGTACAGGAAGAAGTCACCCGTCTGCAACCCTGAAGAGGGTCTTTGCCAGAATCTAAACCATGCTGACACCCTGGTTTCAGACTTCTAGCCTCCAGTAATGTGAGAAATAAATGTTTAAGGCACCCAGATCACGGTACTTTGTTACAGCAGCCCAAACTGACTATTACAGCAGACCTATAACCCCATTCATTATTTTTATTTTTGGCCTACAAGTACTTCAATAAAAACAGCTATAGCTTCCTCTGTCCTGTCTGAGAATGGTCCAGGTTAAGTGATACTTCTCTCATTTCTCCAGGAGTAAGAGAATCTTGAGATCCATTGTTGAATGTCACCTTATAGAACTGTATAGATTTCTCAGACTGTCAAACTGTAACTCCCAGTTTTGGCAGCTTTGTCACATATTTTTTCACTATGTTCTCAAAAAGGCAGCAACTCACCTGCAGGCAACTACTGATTTTGTTCCTGATTGATTTGAGACTTCACAGAAAATGTAGGTTTCCAAGATCCTCTCCATGAACATGTTAAGTGAGGATTTACAGTATTTGCATATACTGTATTTGTATATTTCCCGTTACACTTTAATCTCACCCCTTTTTAGCTGGGGACTCTACATAGATTATTTACTGAGGTCTTGGTGATATAGGGAGCTTAACATCAGACAGAATACTCATTAATTTTCCATAAACATTCTCGACACTGAATTGAGCTTGACAGAAATGGGGGTGCAACCCAGACTTCATCTTCCCAGGTCAATTTTTTTCTTGAAAAGAGTATACTGCTGGGCGCCATGGCTCACACCTGTAATCCCAGCACTTTGAGAGGCCAAGGTGGGCAGATCACCAAGGTTGGGAGTTTGAGACCAGCCTGACCAACATGGAGAAACCCCATCTCTACTAAAAATAAATTAGCCGAGCATGGTGGCGCATGCCTGTAATCCCGGAGCTACTCCGGAGGCTGAAGCAGGAGAATTGTTTGAATCCAGGAGGTGGAGGTTTCAGTGAGCCGAGTTTGCGCCATTGCATTCCTGCCTGGGCGACAAAAGCAAAACTCTGTCTCCAAAAAAAAGAAAGAAAAGAAAAGAAGAATATCCTGACCGGGCAAGGTGGCAGGCCTATAATCCCAGCACTTTGGGGAGGTTGAGGCAGGAGGATCGCTTGCCTACAGGAGGATCAGCCTGGGTAACATGGCGAAATCCTTCTCTGAAAAAAATAATACAAAAACTAGCCAGGCGTCATGGCATGTGTCTGTAGTCTCAGCTACTCAGGTGGCTGCGGCAGGGAGGATCCTTTCAGCCTGGGAGGTCCAGGCTGCAGCGAGCCTGGGTGAAACATGGTAAGATCCTTTTTCCAAAAAAAAATTCCCGATTTTAGCATCATATACAATCATACTTTTGTCTGAATTAGATTGGTAATTTTTTTTGAGACAGGGTCTCACTCTGTCACCCAGGCTGGAGTGTGCAGTGGCATGATGGCATCATCACAGCTCATGCAGCGTCAACCTCCCGGGCTCAAGTAAGTGATCCTTTCACCTCAGCCTCCTGACTAGCTGGGACTACAGGCACATGCCACCATACCCAGCTAATTATTGTATTTTTGGTAGAGACCAGGTTTCACCATGTTGTCCAGGCTGGTCTCCAACTTCTGGGCTCAAGCGATCCTCCAACTTCGGCCTCCCAAAATGCTGGAATTATAGGCCTATGGTAAAATTGATTTTGTTATACATCCTTGTGGGTTTTGTTGTTGTTGTTGTTTGTTTGTTTTTGAGAAGGAGTCCTGCTCTGTTGCTCAGGCTGGACTGCAGTAGCGCAATCTCAGCTTGCTGCAGCCTCTGCCTCTTGGGTTCCCCCTATTCTCCTGCCTTAGCTTCCCGAGTAGCTGGGATTACAGGTGCCAACCACCATGCCAGGCTAATTTTTGTATCTTCAGTAGAGAAGGGGCTTCACCACGTTGGTCAGGCTGGTCTCAAACTCCTGACCTCATGTGATCTGCCGACCTAGGCCTCCCGAAGCGCTGGGATTACAGGCGTGAGCCACCATGCCTGGCCTATCCTTGTGTGTAAAGTCGAAGTTTCCAAGATCCTCTCCATGAGCGTGTTAAGTGAGGATTTACTGTATTTGCATATACTGTATTTGTGTACACTTCCCGTTACACTTTAATCTCGATTGTTTATAATACCTTATATGATTTAAAGTTTACATCATATATATTGTATACCTTATACAGTGTAAATGCTATGTAAATAGTTGTTTTATTGCATTGCATTTTTATTTTATTTTTATTGTTATAATTATTTTTTTGAGAGGGAGTCTCACTCTGTCACCCAGGCTGGAGTGCCATGATGTGGTCTCGGCTCACTGCAACCTCCACCTCCCGGTTTCAAGCCATTCTCCTGCCTCAGCCTCCCGAGTAGCTGGGATTACTGGTGCCGGACACCACGCCCAGCTAATTTTTGTATTTTTAGTAGAAACAGGGTTTCACCATGTTGGGCAGGCTGTTCTCGAACTACTGACCTCGTGATCCGCACACCTTGGCCTCCCAAAGTGCTGGGATTACAGGTGTGAGCCACCTGGCCCGGCCTATATTATTATTATTTGAATATTTTTGAATATTTTCCACCCAGGGCTGGTTGAAACTGAGGATTGGGGAACCACAGATACAGAGGGCTAACTGTACATCATATATCATACATAGTACATTATATATATGGATATATATACATATATATGTATATATATACACCTGTGTATATATGTATATATATACATATATATGTATATACCTGTGTATATATGTATATATATATATGCGTATATATGTATATATATGTGTGTGTATGTGTGTGTGTGTATATATATATACATATATATATATACACACCAGAGAGTCGGACGTTGCACTGAGCCGAGATGGCGCCACTGCACTCCAGCCTGGGCGACGGGTGAGACTCCTTCTCAAAAAAAAAAAACTTAGGTCTGAAAATCATCCCAAATCATTCTGGTACATCTGAGAATTGAGTTGTTGGGGTTTTCTTTATTGGAGGGGGAATTAGAATAAGTGATGCTTTGGTTAGCCATAGTCCATCGTGAGTGAACATTTGCTAAAGAAAATTTTATTAATTTAATAAACCATTTATCCACCTCTTGGTGGCACAATGGGCCTAGTAAATTTTGGTAGGCTATTTGCTCGTAAGCATACAACAATCTGTAAAGCTGATTTGGAGGACACTTGGGAACAAATAAGAGAGGCAACCACGTGAAAGGCCACGTGCATGTGACTTTCACAGAAAATACTATTTGGTGATCTAGTACGTGAAGGGCAGATAGGGTGAAAGGAAAAATCTGAGTGTGGCAGATCAAGGGCACCAGGTGGGACGCAATTGGCATGAAAGCTCACCCAGCCAAAACATGCACTGTTAAACCAATCACTTAGAATTGCAGTGTTTTGGTTTTCATGAAAGGTTGTTGTTGAAGCGGCCAAATTCCAGCCCGGGGAGACAGAGTTGAAATTTTAAGGAGACTTTCCCAAGAAGTATTTCGGTATCTTTTCCAAGACCCTGAGAACATCACAAGGCGCCAAGAATGCACACCCTACGCCTCACCCCAACCTTTTTCTCTCAGCTACCTGGCCCCAAACCCAGGCCTCTAAAATGGATGAGAGGTCTGGGGCCTACAGTTGGCCTCGGAAGTGTTCTTTTCGCTCCTTTCTCCACCCCTCCTAGAGTTCAAAACAACTGGATGTCTCCTCCCTTTTCCGAACGCTGCCCCCATCTGAGGGGCGGATCCTGATTCCCGCCGGCTCAGGCCCCGCAGGTTGGCGGGATCCGGTGGGGGTGGGCCAGCCGAGTCCGGGGGAAGCCGAGCGAACGCTGCCGCGCGCAGCGATCAAACTCGCGCCGCCACACGCTCACGAGCTGCGCCCCACCCTCTCCGTCACCGAAGGCGCCCAGCCAATGAGCCGGCGGGAAAGGCCGGGCCTGCGAACTAAGCACTGGGAGGGGGAGGGCTGGAGGGGGAAGGGAAGTCAGGGGCGGGCTGTGCTTGATTGACAGCTGGTTTTAACCAATCCTCCACGCGGATTCCCTTCACTCTCTTTTTCTACTCAGCCAGGCTCTTCGTCCCACCTACTCCTCCTCCACCCCTCTCCTCTTGCTTTTCGACCCGTCCCACTTCCCCTCCCCCATTCTGCGGGCAAATCGCTGCTGAAAAGAGGCGGGGGCCGAAGCGGCGGGCTCGTGTGGAGCCTTGAGGTGGGATTGACTGGCTCTCGGACCAACGAGAGATAGGCTCATGGCGCGGCTGTGGCTGGAACTGACCAATAGCAGGGCGGGCTGGGGGCGGAGGCCCAGGTTCCAAACGCTCCGCGGCGCCATGGGCTGAAAACTCAACCGAGATGGAATCTCCCAGTCTGAACCGGTTTCAACCGGTTCCGAGTTTGAGGCACTAGGAGGAGGGGGAGAAGCGGCTGCAGCGGCCGCGGCAGGAGCAGCGGGAGCTACAGCATCAGCAAGAGCAACAGTAGCTACAGCCCCGGCGGCCGTGCCTGTTCCAGTCTTTGCTGCTGCAGTCCGTGCAACCACCCAGAGGGGGAGGGGGGAACCACCAGTCGCTGAGGAGCAAGAGAAGGGGGGAAAGTTTAGGCGAGCCTGTGGGGGGGCCCAGCGCCGGAGCCGCGTGAGAGAGGGAGCCGTGTTTTGGTAGGGGGGAGTCGGACTGCAGCTGGCAGCAGAGCGTCCCCCCGGCCGTGTGGACTCTACACCCCCTGCTCCTGCCACTTCTGCTGCTGCCTGTGGCTGGAGGGTCCCCCTGGGGCTGAATCTTTAGGACTTGACCCCGTTCCCTCCCCCTTCCCTCACTCCTAGCTGGGCGGGAGCATTTATTCCCCAGATTAATTCCCCTTGTTTTTTGGGGGGGGGGCGGGTGGGTGTGTGTGTTGGGGGAAAGCGTCCCTGAAATAGTAAATATTATTGAGCTTTTCTTGCCCTTTTCCTCTTCGTTTTTAAAATTTCCTTTTATAAGGTGGGAAAACTGTGAAACCCACCTTGATTCGTCCCCTCTTCCCCCTCCCCACCTTCCCTCGCCCTAATCCCCCAACAAGGAAGGAAGGAGCAGTTGGTTAAATCTCTGGGTAAGTCGACTGTGTCTTCGGGGCCGAGGGTCGGGCGGCGTCGCGGACGGGCGGGAGGAGGCCGGCGTGGGGCGCGGCGGCGGCGGCCGCCGCGGGAAGCGAGCCCGGGAGGTGGCGGGCGGGCCGGGGGCGCGCCGGGCCCACGGCGGAGCCTGCGATTGAATGGAGCCGCTTTTGCCGCTGGGGGATGGAGGCGGGGAGGCGGCCGCGGGAGGGGAGCTCTTGCTGGGTCATTCGCGTGTGCGGGTGGCGGTGGAGGAAGGTGAGGAGCGTGATAGTGAAGCGGGGCGCCTCGCGAAATGGAAAGGCTTCTTCAGCCCCACGGGTTGGGGAGAAGTTGGGGTGATTTCAGGAACATCTCTGTAAATTATTAGGAGTGGAAGTTTCCAGAAATATTTAGTGCAGCAGCATTGAAACGTCCGCCTGCATCACGTGGCCCCCTCGGTGGAGAGCTTGGGATGGGGGAGGGAGGGGCTGCCGACTCCCTATTCCTCCAGCAAGGAAACTCGAAAGCTCTCGGGGTTTTTGCGGAGTGGCATGTGAAGTAGGAAAGATGAATTTTTCAGGGACCTGTACATGGGATTCCGTCTTACAGTTTCTTTTCAGGGGTTTGAGTGTGATAAGTTGGTTAAACCATTTACTGCTGGCCTTGTACAGTGTAGGATGCCCTGATTCTCCTTCATTCCGATGTCTGAGTTTAGGGTGGGTGGGAGGAAGTGGTGTAGTAGAGGAAGCATTCTGTACTGGCTCAGCCCGGACCTCCTCTGATCACGCCGAGGCCATGCTGCTCAGAGAAAGGGGCGGTGAACTTAAGGCGCCTGGTCTAAATGCCTCCTCCGAGTATGGGCGGGGTGAGTGCGTGCTCCCGTGTGCTATAGTTAGAAGGGCTGCAAATCGGTTCGGGTGGGAAGCAAGGGCAGGGCGGGCCCTAGTGAGGTGTGTTTCTCCTGAATGAAGCAGGCGATTGCCCACACACCTAAGGAGAAGTCTTTCGCTTTCTTGCGACCTTTTTTTTTTCTAGTATGAAGTTGGATTAAGCAACGGTTATAGTTTTCTGGTTTTTGGATAGGAACTGGCATTGGGGGTCACTTGTAGAGTTACAGCATCCATAAGCTGGATAATCCCTAGTGTACGCTATCCAGTGAGTGGATTTTAGGATTGAAGAGCCCAACGAGAAAAGAGCGTTCATGGTTACACCTCTCCCACTATGGTTATTCGCTTGTATATCTTAAGTGTGGGACGCTGCTGTTAGTGGAAAGAATGTTTTGGAAGCGTTTTGATTTGGGGGACTAAATGTGCTTGGCATTGACCACAAAGCCGCCATTTCTGTACTACGTACAGTTCAAGAATAGGTAGGTTATTTCGAAGACAGCCGCTAGTTCTAAGGATGGCAAATTACTGTATTTAAACCCTTCTATTCTAAATCTTTTTTTTCATACCAATCTAATTCGTAGAACTCTGTAAGGACAGTGTATTTGAAAGTGAAACTTTGTGAAGTCATCTTAATCTTTTTTTTGTTTGTTTTGGCATTAAACTGTGCTAGGAGTAAATAGGTGAAAAGTTTGTTCATTTTTTTTTACCGAAGTATTTGAAAACTTTCAATACATGGATCTTGTTTTGTGGACATTGCTTTTAAGCCTCAAATATTAAGATTGTTCTGATCTTCTAAATTTTATGATACTTGAGGAAGGTTTACATATTTATTTGTGGAATATATATTTCCTCTCAGTACTTAGATCTCGGGTTTTTGTCTGGTAACAAGTATTCTACTGTTTAAAAACGTTTGTTTAATGCCTACTACAAAACATTTTGAAGTCGCATCAGTTTTGTCAATAATGGACCAGTTCTTGAACTCCTCATTTCTTGAGTTTCACATCATTTTTACATTATTATCAATCATAAGTTACTCATCATTTGGAGTTCTAATCTTTTGTAACAGACATTATCTTTAAGTAAAACCTTTGCATTGAAATTGCTGCCATTATTGCTATGGACATTTTAAAGCTGTTATAAAAAATCCTGGAATTCACGCTTTTTCCCCCCTGCCAAGCTAGTTCGTCCAAGTATAATGTAAAGAAATTAGCCACTCATTTTCTGGTCCACGGAAGTTCCTAAAATGGGAAGAAGTTGGGATCTGACCTTGTTAGTTCTAAATACACTAAACCGGGGGTGCCATGGATGACTTTCAGGATGTCCTGAATCCTCTGTAATTGTATATACAAAATAGTGAGTTTTTAAAAACTGGGTTAGAACTGTTGGTTCCTCAGAGTCTCAGGCATCTTTGACCCCAAAAAAGGTTAAGGGCTACTGACTTAACCAGTCAGGTTTGAGTGGCATTGGCTTTGAAGAAAAGCAGAGGAAAAATACTTTTTACAGTAATTCTGGGCAACAAAAAAGTGGATGTGTGCCAGCATCTTAAGAGTAGAATCCTCTTAAATGGATAACATTGCATATGAACTAGTAGGTTTTAACTATTACTTATTTGGGCGAAGTAGCTCGTTTTTCTGTTAGAAGTCTTTTTTATTTGGAAATGGGCAAGCTTTTAGAGCTTTTACCTTGCTAATGAATACCTGGAATTTAAAAAATCTTGTTTGGCATATTGCCATAAAGTTTTTTTTCCTAGATCCTATAGTAAATATGTTTGTAAATGTAATTACAATCCCCCAATTCATTGAGGGTTGAAACAATTTGAATGTTTTGAGTGTAGAAACTAAGTTATTTCTGTAAAGGTTAAGGGAATTTATACCAAGATATATAAGACTTGTGTTTTTGCTAACCATTGCTGTGTACAATAGGAATTATTGCATATCCGAATATAATTTTTTACATCTGTCTTTTTTCTTTGTTTGTTGATTTTTGAGATGGAGTCTAATTCTACCACCCAGGCTGGAGTGCAGTGGCGGGATTGAGGCAGGGATTACAGGCACCTGCCCCCATGCCTGACTAATTTTTGTATTTTTAGTAGAGATGGGGTTTCGCCATGTTGGCCAGGCCGGTCTTGAACTCTTGACCTTAGGTGAGCAGCCTGCCTCGGCCTCCCAAAGTGCTGGGATTATAGGTGTGAGCCACCTTGCCCAGCCCATTCTGTCTTTATAGCATATCTTTAAAGTTACTGTAATGTGAAGTGAGCTTTTTACTAAGTTATCAAGAAGACCCTGCTTGGGAAGAAAAGAAAATCACATTCACTGGAACTTAATAATCCTACTTGCTGAAAAAGTTTTGACATCAAGATATTGAACTGTATCACTTTTTAGGACCATACAATCCTAATAGTGGATGAATTTAAATAATAGGTTATCATACTTTATACATGTTAGTAGAATAGGAAAATCTGGTGTATAAACTCTGAAAATGTTGAATGGACCATGATAACTTATGTAATTATCAAGTAGTTAAATAATTTCAGCTTTTGTTACTTGATTTTACTATCGTAGTTTTTTTGTAATGATTAAAGTCTCTAAAGTATTTATTAAAATATTTGGAATAATATGATTGAAGTAAAATAACTTGTAGAAAGTTTTTGATAATACCAAAACTTCATAGGCAGCTTCAATTTTTTTTTTCTTTATTTTCAGTAATCTATGCCAGCAATTATGACAATGTTAGCAGACCATGCAGCTCGTCAGCTGCTCGATTTCAGCCAAAAACTGGATATCAACTTATTAGATAATGTGGTGAATTGCTTATACCATGGAGAAGGAGCCCAGGTAAAGTAGCCAACCAAATCTTTATAACATTATGACAGTGTAACAGAGTTGTTGGGTTTAGAATAAAATTTTAAATTATAATTTTAAAAGATATTCCATAGTTTGCATTAATTTGAAATTATATATTAACCATAATGATAATTGGTTTGTAGAAAGAAATAGCATAATGTTTGACATGGTTAGAGTGGGTTGTTTTGAAATATTAGGCTTGTTTTGTCCTTAAGAGCTGAATGTTTTAATAAATACTTTGTAGGTATTAAAGTTTCTCTGTATTATATATGCTTAATATGTTTGGAGCTACATGATTCTTTTACTTTGGAAACATTTACAGAAGTATTTCACAGATATGTTTGTTTAAAAAAAACCAGGAATACCAAGTATTTTTATGTTAGTTGAATTTTGCTCACTTTCTAAGTAGTACTGTTAATGTAGAGAATTAAACATAAACCATGTTTTGATCAGTTTAAGGTTTTTGGCCTTTTTGAACCCAATTAAAAGGTGAAACAGAAATGTGTATAAAATTTTAAATTGTGTGCGTTACAAGAAAAAAACCTTGACTTTTTTTTACCCATAGGACCAATTTTTTTTTTTTTTTTTTTGAGACAGTCTTGCCCTGTAGCCCAGGCAGGAGTGCAGTGGCACCGTCTTGGCTCCCTAAAACCTTTGCATTCAAGCAATTCTCTTGCTGCAGCCTCCCTAATAGCTGGGATTACAGGTGCGCGCCACCATGCCTGGCTAATTTTTGTGGTTTTAGTAGAGATGGGGTTTTTACCATGTTGGCCAGGCTGGTCTTCAACTGCTGACTTAAGGTGATCACCCACCTCATCCTGCCAAAGTGCTGGGATTACAGGGATGAACCACGGCGCCTGGCCCAAACAGGTTTTTGAATGAGTAAAAAGTTCTCCAGTTGGGTCAGAATTTTTGTTTTTGTTTTTGTTTTTGTTTTTGTTTTTTAGATGGAGTCTTGCTTTGTCGCCAGGCTGGAGAGCAGTGGCCTGATCTCAGCTCACTGCAACCTTTGCCTCCCAGGTTCAAGCAATCCCTTGCCTCAGCCTCCTGAGTAGCTGGTACTACAGGCGTGTGCCACTATGCCCTGCTCTGCTCATTTTTTGTATTTTAGTAGAGACCAGATTTCATCATGTTGGTCAGGAAGGTCTCCATCTCCTGACCTTGGGATCCACATGCCTCCACCTCCCAAAGTGCTAGGATTACAGGTGTGAGCCACTGCGCCCAGCCAGAAGTCTTTTAAGGTAGTTTTGTTGCCAGAATGGTAGATTTCTGGTTAGATAAATGTTCAGCTAGTAGATAATGAGGTTACTTAGATGTCAAAATATTTATATTGCATAATTAAGAAACCTTGAGTGCCATTATACTTTTGAAAGCAAAAGGTGGATGTAGTACTGTCTTTTATAGATAGTCCAAAAAGCATCATATACAAATGTTTCCGTTCCCTTGTGAAATCCAACGATACTGCAGTAGAAACTTGAAAAGGGCCATGGAAGCTCTAAAAGTAGAAAAAAATTACTCTGTAGTGATTCTGTGAGCTTGTTAGTCCAGATTTATATTCCTAGGGCCTTTTTTTTTTTTTTTTAAAGATGGGGTGTCACCACCTTGGCCAGGCTGGTCTTGGACTCCTGACCTTGTGATCCACCCATTCAGCCTCCCAAAGTGCTGGGATTACAGGCGTGAGCCACCAAGCCTGGCCTCCCTAGGGGCTTTTAATCAGTATGTTATCTCCAAATGCATTCTTGAAAAATTGTCCATCAGTATTTATTATCCCTGTCATTTAGTTGTTCCTCATGCTATGCATTCAACATGAAGCTTTAAGCTTCATTTCTTCTAGCATGGATGCATAGAAAGCAACTGCTTTTGGAGGAAACTGTGAAATTAAGGTTGGGTTCAACTTTGAATAATATTATTGGAAAAATAATATTATTGGGAAAAGGGCATTTAATTTTTTCCACATATATTCAGCTACTAATACTGTTTTAATCTTGGCACTAAGGTAGTTCACAACATCTAAGGGATCTAATAAATAAACCAACATAGACTAGTGTTCTTCAAGGCTTATAACAGAATTAATGGTAATTTTTGTAATTGAGAATATGTTATAGTAATACTGCTTTTAATGTTTCACAGTATTCAGAAATTTAATGGTTTGTTTTAAAGTTGACTTGTTAATAAAAAGTAGATTAAGAAAAGTTTCTAAATTTTTTTTTGTTTGTTTATAACGACAATAGGTTAACTTTCCCAAAGTAAAAGGATTTTGTCTGCAGTATTTAATAGGTCATGTGACAAATCAGTTGCATGAAAATACCTAGGAAACTTGTATTATAAATGAAGATACAGATTTAGAGCTTAAAGCTGGTTAATGAGTCCTTTTGGTCTCTAAAAGTATTATGTCTTTAAACTTTCAGTTCAGTCTTTTTTTTTTGTTTACCACCTCCTTGAGGGTCTTATTTCAAAGGAAAAGTAGTAGTAGTAGTAGAGAGCTGTAGTGGAAAACATGTTTTTAATGTTAGATGTCTTAATACGATTCCTGGAAGTTCTCTCCAGTCATTTCTTAAGTCCCATGTACAAATGTGACCTGCCCTACAAGAGACTGGAGGGTTAGTAATGAGGTTTGTAAAGCACCTATTACAGTGCTTAATAGGTAGAAGGCACTCTGTTTAAAGGGTACATTTAGCAGTATAATTAAAATGATTTAGCCTATGTGATACACACTCATTGCTTGAAATTAAAAAAAATATTTTTTGCTACTCATAAAATATGCAGTAATGACAAGTAAAATTTATTATACTAATTAAACTTTTAAAGTCAACTGGGAAAAAGTCAGTTGTAGGTAGCCCTTTTTTTTTTTTTTTTTAAAGGAATGTGTATCTTGGGGGAGGGGAAGAAATTATTTAGAAGAATGGCTTTCAAACTGTAGACAGAACTTTTGCATACATGGTTAGTAGTATAGTAGGATATTTAGCACTGTGACATTAGGACTACCTTCTGTTAACAGCACTTTTTTATTTTTAGCCACGTAGACAGCTAGAAAAAACATAGGGGAAGAGTTGGATATTTTCTCCAATATTGTGTTCTTTTAAGGATCTTGAACTCTTTATTGCTTAGCAACTAAAATGCTTTCACCATTCAGTTAGTAGCACAAGGGAGATGCTCGGTTTTCTCTCCCTTTAGTTTGCTTTTGTGTCTTTTTTTTTTTTTTTTTTTTTTTACATTATGTTGGAGTTTTAAGTTTATAAAGAACATTATGTAAGAATGATAGGATTAGAATACATTAGGATGCAAATACTAGAAGTAACATCAGAAAGTAAAATTGCCACAGGAAAGAACATGATTGATGTAGAGATTGAAATGAGTGGCAATAGTATGGGAGGTATTTGATTCTGAGTAGAAGGCTTATCCCTTCAAAGCATCTGACAAAATGGCAACTTGACCAAGTAACTTTTACTATGTGAGGATCTTTGTTACAACTTTTCCTCTAGTTTGGTATGGTTATCTAGTTAGATATTCTCAGGGAGAAGATCAGAACATTGCTAAAATGTGCTTTGGCCCTAGATAAGTCACATCATTATTCTTTCTGCCTTGTATCATTTCTCATGACACATTATACCCATGAGTCCTTTAATGAAATCAAATAAAAATGTGTGTAATTGTATTTTCAAGTATACCCATTAACTCTTCTAATCACAGACTCAAAATGGAAGCAGGTATCTATCTGATCATTTCAGGCAACCACAGTGGTTCTGGTGGATTTCTGGGTAGAGAACAACCATATTATTGAGTGTCTAACAGTGTATTTTGCTGATTGATGTATGGGATAGTCATTAATATGGTATTGTATTTGCTACCTGAGGAAAAGATTGTGGTTGAAATAAAGCATCAAAGCCAGGATAAGTATTCAATTTTTTTTTTTTTTTTTTTTAATGAGACAATGTCTCACTCATCACCCAGGCTGGAGTGCAGTTGCCTGATCTCAGCTCACTGCAACCTCCTACACAGTTCTCCTGTCTCAGCCTCCCAAGTATCTGGGATTATAGGCATGCGCCACCATGCCCAGCTAATTTTTGCATTTTTAGGAGACGGGGTTTCACCCTGTTGGCCAGGCTGGTCTTGAACTCCTGACCTTGTGATCCTCCTGCCTCGGCCTCCCAAAGTGCTGGGATTAACAAGTGTGAGCCTCCACATTCAGCCGAGCATATGATTTTTTAAAAGATTGGAATAAAAGCCAAGCTAAAGAGTATGAGATATCTTTGTCAGAGATGATTATAAGAGTGCTTCCTGCCCTCTTTTTGATGCTTTCTTTTTTTTTTTTTTGAGGCGGAGTTTCACTCACGTTACCCAGGCTGGAGTGCAATGGCGCGATCCCGGCTCACCGCAACCTCCGCCTCCTGGGTTC